TGACACACTGTTCCTTCTGCTTGAACAACTCTTACACATATTTCAGGTCTCAGTTTAACTGTCACTTCTCATCTCTTTCATCACACTCAGCAGCCTCACACTCAGCAACCTCCTAACCACCTATGCCTGTCTCACCAGGTGAACTGTAAGAGCTGTGCTTGACTTTACTTTCTTATCCCTATGGCACAGCACAACGTTTGGCACATTATAGGAACTCAGTAAGACCTTATTAAAGATAGCCCCCCTCTCATGGGAGAGGTTCATTTGTGTACATATATGTATACCAAGTCATATTTAGAGACAATAATAGGGAGAGGAGGGTTTGAATGTGCTAATTAGCCACAAAATCCTCCACAAGGAAATACCCTGACCAGCCATAGCTTTCTTCCCATAGACAACTTCCTCAGTCTCCCAGTCAGAGAAGAAAGCAGGGACCACAAAAGCACAGTCAGGAGTAAACATGTCAAGGAGGGTCTGGGTCACAAACACTCATTATTCAAGTAGAGTTGATTATTTTCACTAAGTAAAGACTCTGTCTTAGCACTGGCCTCTCCTTACTTCAAACATTTCTGGAAGCTTGTATTATTAGTCTGCTAGGGCTGCCATACAAAATACCATAAACTGGGTGACATCAAACATTTATTTTCTCACAATTTTGGAGGCTAGGAAAGTCCAAGATCAAGGTTCCAGCCAATTTGGTTCTGGTGAGAGCTCTCTTCCTGGTCTGCAGACAGCCGCCTTCTCACTATTGTCCTGGCATTGCCTTTCCTGTGTGCATGTGAAGAGAAAGCAAGCTCTTCTTTTAAGGACATTAATCCAATCAGACCAGGACCCCACTGTTATAACCTCATTTGACCTTAATTACTTTCTTAGAGGCCCCCATTACCAAATAGACATTAGCCACATAGACAAACAGCCACATAGATATTAGAGTTTCAACATAATTTGGGGAGGACACATACATGAAGTCCATAACAAAGCTCAAGTCCCCTCTTTTTTTAATCCAAAAAGAGCTGAGAGTCTTCTTATGTTTTCTGTGTTGGTGTACCAGCCTGCATATATTCCTGCCAGAAACCTGTACCCTATGTACATATTTCCTTACCTGGTAGCTAGGTAGATTTAGTTAGGGAAGCTAGCTATCCAGGCAGGAGGAAGAAGAGCCAATGAAAATGAGAGAGAAGTAACTGTGAGAAAGCTAGGACATATTAGTGACTCAAGAAGAAAACAAGGACGAGTCAAAAACAATTTAAGACCCATAGGATGTGGCCCCATCCATCAAGGCAGTCTTATTTCTTATTATTCCAGTTCCACCAGTTATTGCCCACAGTCACTTAGCAAGTGACTTACACCCCTCTTTGCACCGGTTTCCTCATCTGTAATACACTCTCATAGCATTATTGTGAGGATTACATAAGAATGCACATAAAGTGCCAGAACAGGGCCTGGCAAGTCATAAATGATCAGGAAACATTAGCTACATACAGTTATATTTCCCCATCTCCTGCTCTAATCAGTTTGCTCCTCTTCATCCCAGATTCCAAGTCCTTGCTCACATTGTTACTTCTGCCTGCAATGCCCTTTCTGGTCTCCTCCACCTACACATATTTCAACATCCTATTTCTCCACAAGGCCTCCTCTGTACTACTATGACATTTAGGGCCCCTTCAGTTCACCCTGACAAACGAACAATGCTGCTGTGGTAGTTAACCATCGTATACCTTTAGGTGTGCTCCCACAGGGGAAGAAGCTGTTTCTTAATCTTTTGTGTGTTTTCTAGTGTTTTATACAGTGCTACACTGCAGGTGTTCAAGAAATCCTGCCTAAAAAAAGAAAGGGGGTTGGGGGGGGCGGGGAGGGGGGAGAAGGTCTGAATTCTGAGCAATAAAAAGGTCACCTAACCTTGAAACAAGAGTACTTTTAATTATATTTTAGTTCTAAAATAAACCCAAATGTGTCACAGCGCCTTCTGAAGAAAGGAGTGTTATGAAATCAAATAATTACAGGAGCAGCAACCCCATGAAGAAAGTTTGGGAACCATTGATAACGCTTCTAGAGGCGTGGTAAGGAGAGAAGCAGACAGGCATCAGAGCAGCAAAGGGAATGAGATATGGATGCAGAACACAGAAAGCATTTACTGAGTGCCTGCTCCACGCTGGGCACTCACACTGATCTTGTCAACTGTCTTGTCAGGGAGGCATCATTGTCTCCAGGTTGGCCTGGCTCCCAAGCCATGCCCTTTCCCCAATCCTCATTACCTGTTTTGTTTATGAAAGAGGTATTGCAATTGGCGCTGTGGTAGGGCCAAGTGAATATGCCCTCCGGGCCAACTTCCTGGAGATGCTACACTTTGCTGCTTCCAGGCAGATGATGGATTTTTTTTTCCTGGAAGCTGGAGGGCCTCCAGAGGACAGGGATAAATAGGAATGGAAGGTGTGTGTGTGTGTGTGTGTGTGTGTGTGTGTGTGTGAGAGAGAGAGAGAGAGAGAGAGAGAGAGAGAGAGAGAGAGGGAGAGAGAGAGAGAGATGAGCCTCAGGCCTGGGCTGACAGGATGTAGTTTAAGGGAAACTTTGTCCCGGGATATCCCCCTGCCCAACTTCTTCAGGTGCTAGGAATCAGCACCATTATGGTTTCATGGCTTACGAGCTTGTTACAAAGGTCCCATCATTGAAAGATTACTCAGTGTATCACATTAGTCACTACCTGAAGTGACGTGACTGGAGGGCATCAGGATCTGATAGAGGGCAACAAGGGCAGGTTTGAAAACAAAGTAGGAAAGCTTGAAGTTTGAAGTGCATTTCTGAGGTGGCACTAGGCACCTGGTGTAGATTGAGGGAAGGTGGGTCGAAGGGCACTAAAGATTCACAGCTGCGCCCTAGCTGGTTTGGCTCAGTGGATGGAGCATCTGTCTGTGGACTCAAGGGTCCCGGGTTCGATTCAGGTCAAGGGCATATGCCCAGGTTGCAGGCTCGATCACCAGTAGGGGGCGTGCAGGAGGCAGCCAATCAATGATTCCCTCTCATCATTGATGTTTCTATCTCTCCCTTCCTCTCTGAAATCAATAAAAATATATTTAATAAACAAAAGATTCACAGCTGCTTCCAAATGTTGCCTTTATCAAGGACCACCTGCAAACCTAAGTGTGCTTTCACTTCTAGACATTGACTCAAGGGTCACAAGGGTGAAGGAGATGAAGGGGCAACTTGGATAAGCATGGACATCTGGATTACTACAGACTAAACTATGCCTCCAGCTTCCAGGACCCAGAGCTAAATCAGGCAGGAGAGGTGCATTAACGCCAGTTTGGAAGGGCATTCTCCAAGACAGGCAGGCGGGCTCCTCGCTAGCCTCTAACACCCGTGGCTCAGCCCCAGCAGCTTAACAAAGCCCCAGGCCTCACATATCATTTCTCACCTCCTGCAAAAAGGCTCTTTTGCACGAGTCCAATCCACCCATTCCAGTGGGACCGTGGTAATTTCCGACTACGCGGGAGTTCAGCGCTCTTAACGCTGGCGTTGGTTCATGGGTGAACTGTATACCGGTATAGTTCTTTCCTTTAGTCTAGAAGGGAACTGATTCTGAAGACCACCAGAGGGCGGTGTATAGCAGGGACCTGGCTTCTGGGAGGACACCGCTGCTACAGGGAAGGGCGGGCTTCCGAAGATACCACCCACCCCTGACCATCCCCCAGGCCTTAGACACTCCCCTCCCAGTGCAGTCCAACTCCCTTGGAGCTTCCGTTGCTAACTTAGGGGCACCTGCCTGCATACTTGCTACGTTGCTAACTTAGATGTCTGCTGTGTTGGAAGCTATAGGTTCCAGAAACACTCAGGCCAAGGAAACAGAGCCAGCAATAATGGGAGAGGAGAGAGAGAGAAACAGTGGCGGGAGCCAGTAGAAACAACCAGGACAGGAGAGCAGGAAGGGCGCTTGGGTTGTAATACCCATATGCCCTTGTGTGGAGCGCCGATTTCCCCCCATACATCAGGGCTGAAGTGGGTCTCCGCCTTCATCCTCGCAGCCCTTCTGAAGGAATAGGCTCCAGCCTTCTTCTGTCTGGATGCTTGTCTTGACCAAGTGTGTGTGTGGGGGGGGGGGGGGGGAGACTATCAGTTATGACTTAGCTAGGAATTCCCACGGGTCACCAGTTGGTCTAATGACATCTCAGAAAAAAACTTAGGTTCCATCCAGACCCCATACCAGTGTAGGAGGTGGCTAGGCTGAGGTACGGCCTTGAGAGAGGGACCAGGACTAGAGGTTAACAATAGGGGAGCAGACTTCTGTGAGTATCAGTACCCACAATGGCCTCATCCCCACCAGAGTCCCTATGAACAGAGAAAGAACTTGCTGGGGCCTTCTCACTCTTTGGACAATTCTGGCCCCTGCAACAGCCGGTAGGCACCATACCGACAGAATGCTGTCCTCTCTGGGTGGGAGAAGGAACAAGCACCCTAGAAAAGGGCACGACTTTTTTGGTCTCTTGATAATCGATGAGGACACCCCCCACCCCCAGGAGGAAGCAGGACTGGAAGACCTACTGGGGAAGGAGGAAGGAGTCGGATGAAAGGTATTGAATCTGGGTGTCTCCTCTTTCTCCCCCCTCTGGGGGTGAATCACCCTCGAAGTAGAGATATTTTCCAATAATCTCCCGGAAACTTTCCCTTTATTAGCCCGCCTGTAGGAAAATGTCAGGCGACAGATTGACTGGCTGTGTAAGACAGTGTTAACGCCGTGTCTGTGCCCCAGCCCCTCACCTTGCCAGGCTGGGCAAGCAGATCATTATATTATGATTTATAAATAGAAAATAAAATTATCGGGTGGGACTGGGGCACTGGGGAAGAAGAGGCGAAATAGACTTTGTCAAGGAGTACCCACTATCAATCCCACCTACCTAGGACCTGGGAGCACCTCTTCCCTAGGAGGTTGCCCCTAACCTAGGCAGTCCCTCATCGCCTCCATTTTTCTCCCTGTTCCTCCCTCCCTCCCGCCCAATTAACATCATTCGCTGCCCACATCCCTAGATCTCAGCCCCCAAGTCCTGGTTCCGGCGGGTGCCTCGAGGTTACTAAGTCTAGAACGCTCAGCCCAGCAGCTCCTCCGCCAACCAGTAGAGGAACCTGGAGTACCAGTGCATGCCCGTCGGCTGGACCGCCCCTCCGGGAAGCAGCGCCCCCAGCGCGTGCAGCAGGCGCAAAGGAGCAAAGGCGCGGTGTGCCCACTGGTGACTCTCCAGCACCGCGTAGCACGAGGCGAGGACGTCGTTGACTAGCAGCGTCCCATGCGCGGTGAGCGGCGCGAACACGCCCACGGCTTCCTCTCGAGCCACACGGGCCACGCGCGCCGGCCGCAGCGCGTCCCCGCCCGGCGCCAGCACCGAGTCCCCTGCACGCAGCCGGCGCGCGAACACCGGGGCAAAGTCGCCTGGCGCGGGCGCCGGCCCTCGGGCGGCGAACACCAGGTGCCAGGGTGTGAGCAACAGCTTGCGGGGGGGCCTCTCGGTCTCCACAGCCACAAAAGAGGCGCGGCGCTGCAAGTCCCGGTCCAGGAAGAGCAGCACTGGCGTGGGCACCACCCGCCCTGCGGAGTCTGCCGCCAGCACCCAGTCTCCGCGATGCAGTTCCCGAAGCCCCTTCCGCTCGCCACTCCGCAGGCGCACGGTGGCATTTCCCGGAAAGCAGCCGCCTGCCCTGACCGCCAGGGAGTTATCTGCAGGGAACAAGCATAGAGAGGATTAGATGAAGTCCAGTGGTTCCAGAATGTTAGCCCAGATTCTTAAAGATGTGGTTAAGCCCAGCGCAGACCTCAGCAGTCCCGGGACAACTGCAATTTCCCAGGGGTCTGGCCTCAACCTGGGCAGAAACGGAAGGGTGGTTTATAACACTAACAGCCACCTTGGTCTCCCCTAGACTCAGTTTCCCTTTGGGCGGGCCTCCCCCCTCCCCCCACACACACACACTGTACCGGCTTTGACCGACACGTGGACGTGGTTGCGGGACTCGTAGTACACCCAGTCGAAGCCGGCTTCCACTGCCAGGCGCGCCAGCAGCCCATACTTGTTGCGGTCGCGGTCAGACGTAGTGATGTCCAAGGCACGGCCTTCGTAGTGGAGTGAGTCCTGAGCATGGTGGCCGTCTTCATCCCAGCCCTCAGTCACCCGTAGGCGCACTCCCGGCCACATGTTCATCACAGCAATGGCCAGCGCGTTCACTCGCTCCTTACATCGCTGTCAGGAATTGAAGGAGTCAGTCTCCTCATGACCACTACCACCACCGTGGGGGCAAAAGCGACTTGAATGGGAGGGTAGATGCTTCTGCCTCCAATCCCCACCCCATTCCCTCTCCGCTGTTGAATGCCCTGGGCAAGTGAGAGCCTGCATAGGTGTAGTCGCCTATCTACACGCCCTTTTCAAAGCATCGTTGGACAACTGTGGAGTCACGTCTGAGTCTGAGACAGGAGGCACCTCTATCTTGCTCTTTCTCTATTTTTAATGTTGGCTCCTCACCCCAACTCATTCTGGGACTTCAGCTCAACCTGGGAGAAAGCAAGGTTTAGAGGGCGGGTGGCAGCTTGGTCAGGGAGGGGTAGAACAGCCTGACTCCCCGAGAGGAGCTCCTGTTTGCTGGCCCCCACCGCAAGCCCCGGCTGCCCTCCCTCCGCCTGATTCATCTTTTGTTTCGTTGCCTTCCCTGGCACCGGGCATCGCTTCCTTCCTTCCTTCCTCCTCCTCCTTTCGGCCCCTAGCATTAACCCCTTCCTAGTGCGACTGCCCCCCACAGAGGTGCCCTAGCGGAGCCGTGCGGGATCAAGGCTGCTGGAAAAAGGGTTGGGGTGGCGGGGGCTGCACGAAGTACAATGGCCATTCTCCGGGATGACTTAACCAAGCGAGAATCCCGGGCTGAGGCCGGGGACCCGCCGGGAGAAGCGGACTCAGCAGCTCCATCCACAAAGGCGCTTTTCAGCCACCCCGGCTCAGGGAGAGGAAAGGGCAGAAAGCCGCGCCCCCTATCCCTGCTCCGGCCGGCCAGTCCCCTCCCCCAGCGCGGCCAGACCTCCGGGTTCCAGCTCAGGCTCTGCCAGCGCTGAAAGCTGCCATCTCTCCATCTCTGGTCCAGATGCAGCCCAGAGAGGCGTGGGAGTAGCACCTGAGAATAGCCGGAGCCGCCCTTGTGTGGATCTGGGGGGCCCCCTGCAGGGTGGGAGTGGAGAGGAGGAAAAGCAGCAGCGGCTGGAAGCCTGCGCCCGGGGGAGTGAGACCGCGGTTATCTTGGCCGCTCCATTCTGGGAGCCGGAGACCTTGGCGCGCACCATGGCACGGACCCGGCGGGAGGAGGCGCAGAGAGGACAGCTTCCTTTTCTTCTTCTCTCCGACCTCTCACCTTGGACTTGGCTTTCTCCTAACTGCCAGAGGGACACTTTCCCCCTGCCCTTCTTGCTGAGTCTTCTACACCTCCGCAGGGTTGGAGAGGAGGGGAGGGGAAAGACAGGAAAAATGGTAACTCCTTCCAACTTTTTGTCGTTTTGTCCCTTAAGGAGGCCCGAGGCCTTGACCTGCGGGGGCAGCAGCCCAGTGCAGAACCAACTCAATGGAGGCCTTTTGCAGCCAGGGTGTGGGAGATAAGCAGGACCCAAAGGGTTCCCGAGCCTGTCAGAGCCCCTCCCGGGTCTGTCCCTTCTTCTGCCCACTCTGCTGCAGGTGGCAGCCAGAGGAAGCATTCCATGACCAAGAAGGAAAGGAGCGACCCTTCCCAATCTCTGGGTGAAAGAAGGGATTCTTTCTCCCCTAGACAGGTTTTCCTAACAAAGTAACCTGGAAAACTATTGCAATTAATCAGAGGAAATCCGTACCCCTCCCTCTCCCCCCACCTCCCCACTCCATACACAATTAGGTGGTGTAATGGAAAGTGTATAGGACTTAGAATCAGGAGTCCTGAATTCTAGTCCCAGCCATGTCACTAATTAGTTTTAAGACTTTGATTAAATCACTTTTCCTCCTGGGGCCTAGCTCTCACTGTAAAATGGGAGGTGGGGTGATGGTGGAAGAATGTGACCTCCAAATTTCCTCCTGTTCCGACATTTGAGATCATTGGCCAGAGGTGGGCCTTCTCTCCCAAAGCATTACTCACCTCACCCTAGGTTGGTTAAGTTCTGATCTGCCCCAGATGCTCAATACATGGTAGTTGAGTTTATATTATTTTTTAAATTCCAACAAAAGCCCCTGAAATAAACTGGGCTTGAGGGACACTGGAACCCTTTGATTCTCAGGTGGGTCCCTCTGTTCTTCTGATTGAGTACTGCTTTTCACAAGACAGTCGTTTAGACTCTGGAATGACCTTGCCCCAGTTCTAGGATGCCTCCCCCATGCCAGAGACAATTCCCACCCGGCCCCTCCTTCAGGTAGATGGCCTGGTGACCTGACTCTTGGCCACCCTTTCTCAGCCTCCTTCAGTCTTCTTGGCTCAGAGATTTTCCAAAATCAGGTCAGAAGCCAGGCTAAGGGCATAGCTTTCTGTCTACTGCCTAGCCAGCTCCTGGCCCCCAGCTCACCCCAGCCCTTCCTGCCTGGCTCGGTAGCTGACCCCCGGTCCACGCCTCAGCCATTTCCCGTCTCGCCTGCCGCCATCCCCCTTTCCCCGCCCTCGCCTTCGAAGTCTCTCCCAGCTTCACTCTCACTAGTCCCTCCTTCCTCTCCCCATCCAAGTCTCTCCCAGTTTGGATCTCTCCTGATCACTCCGTCCAGCCAGCAGTTTTATTTTGGGGAGGAGTGGGGTGGAGGAAGGTCTTTGAGATTAAGGTTTCTAGAGATGAAGCCCAGTTCACCCACCGGGGCTGCAATAGGAAAGTAGAGAAGTTGGCAGTGCCCTGGCGCAGGTGACGAGAGGCCCACCTTACCTCGGTCATCAGGCGGTCTGCGCCACTGTTCTCCTCATCTTTGAAGATGATGTCAGGATTGTAGTTGGGCACCAGGTCCCGGAAGCGCTCGGAGCCCCTGGCAACCCTACCTTCGGCTGGCCCACTGGCGCCCAGGGTCCGTTCGGGCACGCTGGGCACAAATTGCTTGTAGAGCAGCGGCACAAGCTGCTTGCGCACGTAGCGGCGCCGGCCAACCGGCCCCCGGCCCGGGCCGCAGCTCTGGGCTGGCAGCGTCAGAAGTGCCAAGCAGCACAGGAGCACCAGACTGGCCAGCAGCGCCATGGATGCAGCGGACTCGGGCCAAAAGGGAACGTTCTTATCCTTACCAGCTCGCCTGGCAGTTGGGCATTCCCCGGCACCAGAGAGCGCAGCAGGCAGAACTGCCCCCAGAGTGCCCTAGAGCTCTTGTGGCTCTACGCACCTGGCTGCCGCTACTCTGCCTACATCCCCGCGGGGGTTCTGTAACCTGCTACAGGCGGGCCATCATAGCAGGGAAGTGGGGTCGTGGGTGACTGCCAGCTCAGCCTGGCTCTGTCGCCAGGCTCCGGCGCTGCCACAATGCCCGGGCTCCGCCTTAAGTGGCCCCTGGCCCCGCCCCCCGCCCAGGACCGGCCCGCCCCCTACCACCAGGGCGGGGGCTCTAGCCGGTCACCACGGGTCCAGTTTTGAGGCTGAGGTGTGTCCCATCCTGGAAACCAGGTAGTTACTTGCGTAGGAAACCCTAACAGCTTTACAGTCCTTGGCTGTCTGGTGAAGCATCCTTCTACCTCCCAGTCTGCGCTTGGTACCAAACCATCCTCCTGATATTTGAACAGGATCTTTGCTCTCCTAAAGCCTACCCTGGCAGGCCATGTCCTCTGCTACTATCCAGAAATATTGGTTCCAGTTCCTGCCCAAAGTCAACCATGCTCGTTGGGCATACAACCAGAGCCTCCCTTGCCTCTCCGTGGTCTTCCCCACACCTCTGCCATTTCCATCTCTTCTGCTGGGAGTTTTCCCTAGAGTCAGCAACAGAGCTTCAAGTTATAGTCTACTTTAGGACTTCAAAATTTGGCCCCTCTTTTGTCCTTGCTAGACACCCAACTTTTTTTTAAATGAATAACTTGTCAATTGGAAATTGCTGGAGGACAGTGGCTACTTGAACTCTCTGGTTTCCTGTCACCTTTAATCTAGCCACCTCTCTAGCTTCTTCCTCTCTGGACCCCCCTGCGGCTCTGCTTCCAGTCACTCAGATTTATCACAGAGGCTTTGAGCCTGCTACACGTCACCCACCAATCTACTCTCCTTTAGAAATCACTTTCTCTAAGAAGCCTTTTCTGATGTCTTGACACTGACCACCTCTATTTCCTGGAAAACCAGTAATTAACTGCCATTTATTGTGGTTCAGTGTTAGAATTATCTGTCACCCTTACTAGAAAAAGCAATTAAGCACAAACTTATTTATCATGTAACCCCATGGTTAAGTGCCTGGCCTATAGTAGAGTGCTCAGCAAATATTCATGGCATGGCACCTACACTGTTTTTTGTGGGGTTTTTTGTTTGTTTGTTTTTGTATTCCATGTTCACCCCTCATGCAGCTCCATAGCTAGCACTTATAGGCACCTTTGTGTACATTTAAAAAAAAGCACCCCTTCCTCAATACACCTGCCATTTGCAAGAAAATAGTCATAACTATACATTAAGACTATGAGGTGAGTGGTGCCCCTAAATGTTGTTCAATGCAACATATACATAACATACATAACCCTGAGCAGAAACCTTGTCCCTAGCCCCAACGTGGCAGGGGGCTTGCATAGTACTTAAAGCACTGATAGCCTCTGGAAAGATGGAGTTAGATTCTTTTCAGAGGTAGATCACAGACCTTTGTTAGCTAGCCACTTCTTTTATTCCACATCCAATAGTCAAATCAGGGAGGACAGGGCTGAGTGTGTGTGTGTGTGTGTGTGTGTGTGTGTGTGTGTGTGTGTATACAAGGGGATCTTATCCTATTCCTACACCCATGCCTACCTACCCCCAATAACCAAGGCACATAAACAAGGTCATGAGTATAAGGAGAGTCAGGGGACCAGTCAGCTTTAGGCTAAGGGAGAGGAGTTCCCAACTGCCTAATTGTGTGGCCTAACACCAGACCCAAGTCCTCAAAGAACACTAAGAATGCAGATGGAGGGGAAGGGAAAGGATGGTGGACAGAACCCTTCTGTTTCTCTCAGTTGAAAGACTCAGGACTTGGGGGGAGAGCAAGGCTATTCAAATAAACACACAGAGAGCCTTTTAAAAAAACCAAAGCAAACCTTGGGATCAACTTTATTGCTGATGGTTGTGGCCTTTTCTTTCCCACATCCTCACCTCTCTGGTGGTCCAAAGTCCCTCCAGGATAACACAGTGCTTAGGTTCTTCTGGACCAGAGGCAAGGGAGACAATCTGCCCCCCACATCTGCCCCTGCTCGGTCCCTCCCCGGTCCCCACCCAACCCTATTGCACATCAAATCATGTAAACATGGCTACAGGCATGGCCTGGAATAGCAGTGAGGCAGATTGATGTGTTAATGGATTTGGGACCAGGAGCCAGACCCAAGTCACCCAGTCCCGCCCCATGCTAAGGCCCACAGTTAAATCTGGAAAAACAAGGGGGCCTGGTCCCAAACTCTGGCTCAGATTATGCAAACAGTGCAGATGGCTCAGCTCCCCTCTGCCACCCACCCCTCTCAGATTCCAGGTCTTAAGGATCACCCACTCCTGGTGTCGCTTCAGGACTGGGTAGCAGATGGCAGTGTCCAGTTTTTTCCCTCTCACCCCCAACTAGAGGTCACTGGTGTTGGGTCTTCCTAGATGCCCTGGGGAAACCAGAGACAGGCAATGGCAGTCTGTCCAATCCTGGAAAAGAGGGAAGGCGGACAGTCAAAAGTAGGACATATGTCCAGACCTCTGGGATAAGACAACCAAACCACAAAATGAATGGATGAAGCATGTTACAAGTAAAGCAGAAAGCCTGCCATCTCCCTTGCTGGAAAGACCACTGTTCCAGAGGGCTCCACCCCACCAGCCTGTGACTCCCACTCCTTCTCACCAAAAGCCCGGATCAGCTCTGCCCGAACAGCTGCGGTGAAGGTCTTCACCAGACAGAGAGTGGTGAGGCCCGCAAAGATTGCATTGTAGAGGAACACGATGTAAAAATTGCCCAGCCAATTGAAGCGTCCAAAATCACCCAGCAGGTCAAAGCGAGTGAGTCCTGAAATACAAAGACCAGGATAGAAGGTGGGCATCCCAGCCCCGCCCTGGCTCAGAGCCCAGCTTTCTGCTGCCTCCTGGTGGCCACATCTCAACACTGCAACTGATAAGTTGGCCTATTATTTGAGGGGGGGGGGATTTTATTTTTTTATTATTTTTTAAAAAATAATTCTTTATTGTTGATAGTATTACATATGTCCCCCCTTTTCACCCCATTGATCCCTTCCAGCCCCCCCCCATCCCCGCCGTCCCCGCCCCAGACCCTCAGCACCCTTCTGTCTGAGTCCATGGGTTATGCATTCAAGGTCTCACCCACCCACCCACCCACTCTCCCCCGCCATCCCTCTGGGATTCTGCACTCTGTTCCATTCTTCCATGTCCCTGGATCCATTCCATTTATCAGTTTATTTTGTTACTTAGATTCCACATATGAGTGCAGTCATGTGATACTTGTCTTTGTCTGACTGATTTATTTCACTTAGCATGATACTCTCCAGATCTCTCCATGCTGTCTCAAAGGGTAAAAGATTCTTCTTTTTTAATGCTACATAGTATTCCATGGTATAAATGTACCACAGCTTTTTTATCCACTCATCTACTGATAGGCACTTGGGCTGTTGTAAATTGTGCTGCTATGAACAAAGGGGTGCACAGATTCTTTCTGATTGGTATTTCAGGTTTCTTAGGATATATTCCTAGAAGTGGGATCACTGGGTCAAATGGCAGATCCATATTTAATTTTTTGTGAATACTCCATACTGTTTTCCATAATGGTTGCACCAATCTACTAGAAGTAGTGTACTAGCGGTGTACTAGGGTTCCCTTTTCTCCACATCCTCGCGCACTTGTCATTTGTTGGTTTGTTGATGGTAGCCATTCTGACAGGTGTGAAATGGTACCTCATTGTCATTTTGGTTTGCATCTCTCAGATGATTGTGACTTTGAGCATTTTTTCATGTCTCTTGGCCATCTGTATGTCCTCTTTGGAGAAGTGTCTATTTAGGTCCTTTGCCCATTTTTTAATTGGATTGTCTTCCTTTTGTTAAGTTGTATGAGTTCCTTATATATTTTGGATATTAACACTGGCCTCTCTTACTATTAATTATTCCTACATCCCAAGCTCTGTCTCAGAGGAGTTCAGGGCTGTGAAGAAAGTGCCAGCAGCTAGGCTTGCTTCAACTTCCCTGCCAGAGTTTGGCATGCTCTTCGATAGGTTCCCCTCTGGCTCCAGGTATATCAAGGAGCTATCTGGGCCCACCAGTTGTTCCTGGGTCAGGAACTTATAAGCTAGTCACTCGTATTTTTTTAGTAGGTAGAGCTGTGTGGAGGCTAAGAGCTCTGACTCTGATCAGACTGCCATGGTTCATATCCAAACTCCACCTCAACTAATTGTGTGATTTGGGACAAATTCCTTAAACATCTGTGCCTCAGTTTACTCAACTATAAAGTAGAGGAAATAATGGGACTGTTAGAATTAAATAATTCCCATAAAGCACTCACTATATGTACCAGGAGTATTTTAACTCTTGCTGAGCCTTTAATAATATAATATCAAATAAGATTTCTGGGGCCCTCCTCCACTTAACTCCAACCGAAAGGAACTAACTGATGGACCTACAAGCCTAGTGTACTACTAAACCCTCATGGTTTAAGTATAAATGCTACAGGGGAAAGAGTGTGGACTTAAGAACCAAATAGAACTAATTTATTTTTTTGATTTTTGATTTTGAGAGTACATTTATTAAAGCTGGGGACAGTCAGGGGTTGGGGGGAGGTAGAAAAGGGTATGGGGGAGTAAATGGTGATGGAAGGAGATTTGACTTGGGGTAGTGAACACACAATACAATATACAGATATGTTATAGAATTATACACCTGAAACCTATATCATTGATTAACCAATGTCACCCTAATAAATTCAATAAATAAGGTAAAATAAAACATCTATACTAATAAAAGGATAATATGCTAATTAGGATGGACGTCTCCTGGACATCCATTGGACAAAGCCACAGGGGCTGCGAGGCCCGGGGCTCAGGCCATGAGCCCTGGCGACTGCGAGGCCCGGGGCTCAGGCCTCGCAGCCGCCACAGCCGGCAGTGGCGGTAGCAGTGGGGTAATGGGGGTGGCGCCCTTCCATGATCAGCCTAGGCACCTCCTTCAGAGGGAGGCCAGACTGCGGCTTAGGCCCCGCTCCCCACTTGGGGAGCCGTCAGTAGGACATCCCTGAGGGCCCCCAGACTGTGAGAGGGGGTAGGCCGGGCTGAAGGACCCCTGCTCCAGTGCATGAATTTTCGTGCACCAGGCCTCTAGTCATTATCCTATACAATAAAGAGGCAATATGCAAATTAACCCTCACACCCTCACAAGATGGCTGCCTATGACCAGGCCAGCAGGGGTTAGTGAGGGATGACCAAATGACTGAACAGCAGCTGTGTGAGGCGACCAGGCCGGCAGGGGGGCTGTGAGGGGTGACCAGGCCAGCAGGAGGGGCAGTTGGGGGCAGCCAGGCCAGCAGAGGGGGCCAGCTGGGGGTGATCAGGCTAGCAGGGGGACAGTAAGAGGCAACCAGGCTGGCAGGGGGATAGCAATTGGGGGCAACCAGGCTGGCGGGGGGGGTGGTGCAGTTGGGGGCAACCGGGCCAGCAGGGGGGTATTTAGGGGCAATTAGGCTGGCAGGAGGGCAGTGAGGAGTGACTAGGCTAGTGGGAGGTAGCAGTTGGGGGTGACCAGGCTGGCGGGGAGGGCAGTTAGGGGTGACCAGGTTGGCAGAGGGGGGCAGTTGGGGGTGACCAGGTTGGTGGGAGGGGTGCAGCTAGGGATGACCAGGCTGGCAGGGGGGTAGTTGGGGGCAATTAGGCTGGCAGGAGGGCAGTGAGGGGCGACTAGGCTGGCGGGGGGTAGCAGTTGGGGGCGACCAGGCCAGCAGAGGGGGGAAGTTGGGGGCAACCAGGCCAGCAGGAGGGTAGTTGGGGGCAATTAGGCTAACAGGAGGGCAGTGAGGGGCAACTAGGCCGGTGGGGGGGTAGCGGTTGGGGTTGACCAGGCTAGTGGGGGTTGCAGTTAGGGGCAACCAGGCTAGCAGAGGGGGGCAGTTGGGGGCGACCAGGCCGGCAGGGGGGGCAGTTCGAGGCAATCAGGCTGGCACACAGAGGCAGTGAGGGGCAATCAGGCTGGCGGGGGGTGGGGGGGGGCAGTTAGGGGCGATGAGGCAGGCAGACAGGTGAGCAATTAGGAGCCAGCGCTTAGGAGCCAGGTGAGTGATTATGTCCAGGATTGTGAGAGGGATGTCTGACTGCCGGTTTAGGCCCGATCCTGGGGATCGGGTCTAAGCCGGCAGTCGGACATCCCCTGAGGGGTCCCGGATTGCAGAGGGTGCAGGCTGGGCTGAGGGGACTTCTCCCCGCGCCCCCGCCCCCCCGCCCGAATTTCATGCGCCAAGGCTCTAGTATAATATATATTAGAAAAAAGCTGGGGACAGTGAAAAAAAGGAGACTTAAAATAGAAGAGACAAGATCACAGTAACAGGAGGGAGCCTAGGCTGGGCTGCCTAGACTTGGGAAAGGAAGTCAAAGTAACAGAAGTGAGTCATGCTGGGCTGCATGGACTCAGGAAAAGGAAGTTACAGAGGCCAAAGGAGAGTTCTTGGAGACAGATTCAGGGGGTTAGCCTGGGATAAGCTGCTGCTGCCCACTGCTCTCCTGGTTGCAAGTATCCTGGGGACCCTTGGAGTTTAGGAGAAAGAAAGCAAAAGTACACACCTGAGAAAAGAGAGCACAGGCATGCTCAAGAGAGTGTCCAAATATAACTAATTTAAATCATGTATGATATATGGAAAATGACGTAGTGTGTGTGGGGGGTTACCTATAACTCTCATACTACCCTGGAGTGAACTACTTACATTTTAAAAAATTTCTACCAGGTAATTCTAGATCATAGTTCCAAAGATAGGAGAAGGACTGAGTGTATTATTTGATGCCCTGGTGTGTGCAAAAAGCGCTGGACTGGGATTAAGGAGACAAGGGTTCTAGCCTGACTTGGCCTTGCCTCAAACTAGCTATAAAATTGGGCAAATTAATTAGCTTCTCTGTATTTCATCTTTAAAATAAAAAATATTTAGCCCTGGTCGGGAGCTCAGTTAGTTAGAGTGTTGTCCATATATGCCAAGATTGTGGTTCAATCCCAGTCAGGGGACATACAAGAGTAAACCAATGAATGCACAAATAAGTGGAACAACAAATCGATGTTTCTCTCTCTCTAAAATCAACAATAAAAGAAGAAATAACAGAACCTGTTTTTCGATCTGTATCATAGGCATAATACTTTCTCATAAGTTTGTTGTGGGATTCAGGGAGAACATGTATATAAAATGTCTGCTTAGCACTAGTAGGTACTAAAAAGAAGCCAATTCCCTTATCTCCTTTTGCTACTTACCTAGGGTTCGAGAGAAGACAGGAAGTGCTGAGCTTAGGACCAGGAGACAGACACAGTTCCCGATTATCTGGGGAGGAGTAAGGAAAGGGGAGGTGAGGTAGCAGAACTGCCAGTATCTAGTCCCCATGCATGCCTCCAGGATACCTCGTCTACTCCAACCCAATTACCTGTGTCATGGCTGTGTCATGCCATCTGGGCCGCAGGCCCCGGAAGAGTGGAGAACTGTAGAATCCCACGATCGAGGACACCATCAGATAACTGCCACTGGGGTTAGGGAAGAACTGGCCAGCTCCCAAGGATTAATGCCTCATCTCAAAGGGAATAAGTCGCTTTCCCCCAGACCTCCTTTCAAAATCAAGTCTTTTCTTTATTTCTGAACCTCAGGTTGGTGAAGACTTACTTGCCCCCTTCCCATCAGTCCTACTACAAGTCTGCCCAGAGCCCCAAAGGAGACATTCAGAAATACAAAAGGATACAAGATGAGTACAACCTGAATGACAGCACCAAAGGAGCCCAGCTTGGAGAAGGAGACCTGGCCCAGGGAGGCATCCTGAGAAATGAAGTAGTATCACAGTGGAGCACTCTCCACAATCAGCACCACCCAGCCCAGCCTTCCCTCTGGCCTCAGCTTCTGCCCCTCACTCCAGCTTTTCTTAGGTCCTCCCCAAAAGATATGGGGGAGGGCAGCCCAGTACCTGCATGCCCCGGGGCATGGCAGCCTCATCGATGAGCAGCTCCAGGATGTGGATGGCCACAATGAGCACGGACAGGCCCTGTGTGAGGCAAGGTCACAGATTCCCATCCACGCCCCAGCCCACAACAGTATCCAGAGTTACATGTTAAGAGCAGACACTCTGCCCTGGCCAGGTAGCTCAGTTGATTAGAGCGTCATCCCGATATGCTAAGGTTGTGGGTTTGATCCCCGGTCACGGCACATACAAGAATAAACCAATAAAAGCATAAATAAGAACAACAAATTGATGTTTCTCTTTCTCCCCTCCCTTCCTCTCCTCTCTCCCAAATCAATCAACAAAACAAATTTTATTTAAAAAAACACACACAAAAAAACCCACCTAGCAGCCTTAGCTGGTTTGGCTCAGTGGATATAGCGTTGGCCTGTGGACTCAAGGGTCTTGGGTTTGATTCTGGTCAAGGGCACATGCCCGGGGTTGCAGGCTCGATCCACAGTAGGGGGCATGCAGGAGGCAGCTGATCAATGATTCTCTCTCATCATTGATGTTTCTATCTCTCTCTCCCTTTCCCTTCTTCTCTGAAATTAATAAAAATATGCTTAAAAATAAAAAAAAATAAAGATAAATAAAAAAGCAGATACTCTGCTCCAACATTTTCAGTTTCCAAGCACTGTATGGGACCTCCTCGAGGCTGGTGCTAGCAACAGAGCACTTTGAGGGTATTATAAGATACACCCACTCCAGGTGGAAGAATTGCAAAAAAGCTAAGTAGAAAATGGATTCGTCCTCCAGATTGATAAGACTTATTCCCAAGTCCAGGTTGTGGCAAGTTGGGGGATAGACTGAATTTCAACCCTTATTTTCACCCACAGCAAGCCTGGGTAACTACTCAGTGGCCCTCTGTGGCCTTGGGTAAACTCCTTAACTTCCCTGTTTCTTCATTTACAAAATTGGGATTGATGTGCTCAGCACAGGGCAGGACACAAAGTAGACACTCAGTAAGAGGTAACTACTATGATTGAAGATAACCAGGTCCCTGCATCTCCTCCCTCTTCCCTAAGAAGGCCTAAATTATTCAAGGGCCTTCTACTCCCCACCCTCATCAAGGCTGGTATACCCACCGTCAATAACAGCAAGCACAGCATGGCCAGGGGATAACCCAGGTTCCGCTGCCAGGCTGAAGCCTTCCACCGCTTCTCTGTGCAGGGATGGGAAGCGGTTAGCACAGACTTGGAACAAGAGGCTATTCTTAAGGAAAGCCAGGTATTCCCATCCCTACTAACTCACATACCCAGTAGGACCCTCTGTGTCTGCAGAGCCAGCACCTGTCTGTGCAGCAGCTCCATGTCCAAAGGCAACCAGCAGGAGGTGGGATCTGAGGGCAGAGAAGATGGTGCTGCCCTTGCCCAATGCATGCCTATCATCCCACCTGGGAAGAACTGCAACTCACTGCAAATCCTGCGGGTCAAAGCTGCTTCCTCAAAGGCTGAGCAGTACAGCTGCTCCTCCAGGTCTTCCAGCACCTGGGAGCAGGGGAAAAGGGAGGGACTAATAATAGTCAGGGGCTCCCAGATCCCAAGGGCCCCAGGAGCACCCTGTTCATCCCAGGGCTTTATCATCCCATTCCTTCCCCTACCCCTTATTCACTACCCTGTGGTCAGCAACTTATCCATCCCTCCTGACTGCCTTGTGTTCTGCTTTGTATGTCTGGTAAGCAGCTCCAGATGATGGGGGTGGAGGATATAGGAGCCAACAAAGGCTATGGCCCTCTGCAAGGTGTGCAGCACACAATCATAGGGTTGTTTTATTTTCTGGCTCCAGCTTGTCAGGAAGCTCACCCCACAGGACCAAAAGGCAAGGAGTACTACATACCCGCGGCTTGACCAGCAGCTTCCCAGTAACCGAGAACATGCGGGCGAGACCTAGCGGAGTACACACTGTGGAGACAGAAGCCAGTCACCTGATAGACCCTTCTCTCCATCATTCCCCTCACCACCCCTCCATTCCCTCTCCTTCCACCCTTGTGGTTCCGATCCAAGGACCTTACCCATTATCTCCCAGACCCTGAACACTCACCCAGGAGCAGCAGGACCCCAAGGAAGGAAATGCAGGAGTAGAGGTAGGGGAGGTAGTACTCCCAGAAGTCTAAGGGTAAAAAAAGCAGTACAGTCAGCCCAACTTTTTCCTGCTTACTGGGACGACAGGCCTCAGAGACAATACAAAACCTAGAGGGGTTAGGCAAGTAATGCAAATCAGGAAAGCTGGCCTGTGTCACAGAAGGGGGAGTGGCAGGGACTATAGCAAACGAGATCCTAAGCCCTACCTAAAGGGCACAACTGTTATTCGGCCCCAGTCACCAAGGACTAGTGTGGCCAGATCCTCAACCTTGTCAAGCAAAGTCAGAGATCTGGATATTAATGTGAAACCTCCCAACATATATATATATATATATATATGGCAACTGACTCATATATGTTTTTTAAATCATTGCATGGGCCCAATGGGACATTCCTGCAGGTTGGTTTTGGCCTGAAGTCCATCATTTTGAAACTTCAGTCTAACGGTTTATTTATTATTATTTTTAAAAATATATATTTTTATTGAATTCAAAAAGGGAGAGGAAGAGAGAGATAGAAACATCAATGATGAGAGAAAAATCACTGACTGGCTGCCTCTTGCACATCCCGTTGGAGACTGAGTCTACAACCCTGGGCATGTGCCCCCAATTGGAATCGAACCTGGGACCCCTTCAGTCTGCAGGTCAATGCTCTATCCACCGAGCCAAACCAGTTAGGGTCAGTCTAACGGTTTAGATGATCTCAATCTTCTCCACCTCAGAGGGATACAGTTGATCCAGGAAGGGGAACAGCTGCCAACTGATGAGCCACTTAGCCTGGAGGGTGGGAAGGAAGCTGGCCCTCTCACCATAGAGTGACTCCCTGCTGGTCTTGTTGTTGTCCACAATGGCTGATGCCACCCACACCATGCCCAGCACCAGCAGAGTAAGGAGCATCAACATTACCACTGTCTCGTAGACCCGGCCCAGGACACCCTATGGAAGAAGGCAATAGGTGTGGGTGGAGAGAACTACCAACAACGTCGGGGCAGTGTGGGGAAGGAAGGCAACATTGGGAATGGCAGCCTGGCTAGGGGAACCAGAGGACTGGATTCAGGAGAAAGGGGAAAGCATTTCCCTCTTATTCTGCTAAATCACTCTGTCCTCCTACCCACAACCAGAATATCCATTCCGTTCTCGATATTTTTCCTTTGTAACCTCCCTCCTTGGGTCCTTTCCCCATCCTTGTTTTGCCCTGGGAGGCTGACTCCTGAGGTCTGCATCACACAAGCCCTTTGCCCTTGGTTTTCCTGTTCGGCTTGCCCAATGGAAAGGACCAACAGCTCCTCTGCTGGGTGGTTGCACCTCCCCAGCTTCAACTGGGTTCCAAAAGCTATTTTTTCTCTCTGGTGGTAATGACAAGCCTATGGTGGTAATGACTTCCTGATGTTACTAGTGCCTCAAACTCCTTGTTGATCTCCTCAAATCTGACTATACCTCTATAAATAGTTTCTTCATTAAAATCTCTTTAGTTGAAACATCTGAGTGGCATTGTGTTTCCTGCTTGGATTGATTGATTCATCACTCACTCACCTTTCTGGAGCCAGCAAAGCCCTCAGACTCAGTGAAGAAGTATGCAAAGGGCATGAGGAAGATGAGGGACAGGTTGGAGAAGAGAAAAACGAGGTTCCAGAGGCCTAGAGCAAAAAAAGGAAAGGCAGCGGTGGTCAGAAAAGGGTGGCCCAACCCACTGGGGACTGATCATGTGATCGGGAAGCTGGGGATGGGGTGATTATGCCTAATGAGTACAAGGCTCTCTGTATCTGCCTGACACTTTCTGCTCCCTATCGCCATCCCAAGCTGTAAACCAGGAGTCACGCACCATGGATGAGGGAGCCGTTGAGCCACTGGATGTAGTAGTTCCGAGGCAGTGAGAGCAACACCTCATTGCTGATGATGGAGAAGGGCAGGAGCAGTACGGCACCCAGGGCAACTGCCAGGGTAAAGGTGCAGAGCTCGAGCCTGGGTAGACGAGAGATAGAGTCCTTGCTTAGCTCAGACACTTCCCTGGGTCCAAGAACCCCCATTCATCCCTGCAGGCACCTGTAGTTTCTCCTAGAACCAACTAGCAGTGACAGACCAGGGAAGGAGCCATCAGCTGGGGCTCCACTCACTGCCCCCCAGCCCTAGTCCTTACCTTCAGGGAAGCCTTGGCACATGGGATGAGTACATCTCAGGCATTTATGGGAGCCTGGTCACCTGCCATGTCACCTGCCCAGACGTCCTCAGGAATGTGATCCTCCCACACATGCCCGTAGGGTGCACCAGGCATAATGCCAACCTAAGAGGCCTGGCTTCTCTAATCAGAGATGTGGATTTCTGAGCTTGCCTCTTCAGCCCGCATAAGAGCAGGGTCACCCCATGTGGCTATGCCCTGAATGAAGCTCTAGGACAAAGGGGGAAAAGGGAGCTAAAACCCAACTTCATAGCTAAGGCCTGTGTGCGGGGCTGCATCAGTTGAAAAGAAGGGACACTTTATTTATTTGGTCCATCAAGGGGGGATGGTTGCCTTCTTAAAATCTGTTGACCCAGAGGAGTCATCACTATATCTTTCTCTATACTTGCTAGTGAATAACAGCAGTCTGGAATAAGGTCCATCCTTAGATTCAAGCACACCTCCCCTCCAGGGGTTCTATCTTCCCATCCCCTGATGTTTTCATTAATCTGCATCCTACCCTACTCCCTTCCCAATGGATGCTGGGAGGTGAAGCCAAGCTGAAGTCATTTCTGGTGACTCAAGCCCCAGCTGACAGTTCCGGCCTTGAGGATGCCAGGAGCTCCTGGCCTAACCAGGGAGACAGGAAGAGCAGCTTTTCCAAGCATCCCGAGGGTAGGGTAAAGCTGGAAGAAGCCAGGAGTAGGATGGAAGCAGAAACTCTCTCTTTACTTTGTGACACCCCACTCTCTCTGCCAGCTCCAGGGCCTCACTGGATTTCAGCTTCTAAAGGTAACTGGTGCCAGTTGCTCAGGCAGCAACACTTACGCAATCTTGTTGACTGTGGCATCTTCATCATCCACTACAAAAGACAGAGGCATGGGGAAGAAGCAGAAGATCAGTGGGCAGCTCTGGGAACCATCTGTGTTGCAGCGTGCCTTCCTTCCCCATCCCTGCCCCCTGAAAGAAGGGCCTGTGCCCAGAGAGGCAGAGCTGGACAGGAGGCTCTGGGAGAGCTCATGCTATAACCCCACAACCTGTTCTCCGGCCAAGGTAGCAGTGGCCCCAGGTGGAGAGAGAACAGGCTAGAAACTCCCTCACTTCCCTCCTTCCCCATCACAGGTTCCTCTTTTGTAAGCTCAAAATATGATAAACAACTGGTCTGTGAGGTTGGTTACATCAGTGGCTGGGTGCAGCAGAGAAATGCAAGCAGTGGCGGGGGTTGGGGGGGGGAGATTCACAGAGAAAGTTCCCAAGAGAATTACACAGAGGAGTAGCTGCCTTCTTGGGTGGGGGCTCATGGAGGGGAAGAAAGGCTAGGGCCAGGACAGGATGATCTGAACAGGCTGAGGCAAGTGTGTGGATGCCCCTCCTACCTCCCTGTCACACAATGTCTACAGGAAGGAAAGCTCCAATCTGAGCACAGATTGGAAAGAGAAAGGCCACCATCACCAGGTCCTGGGGTCCCAGCGGTCACGGAGGTCTCTGGTCCTGGGTGTGGGAGCACTAGGAGAGGAGGTGACAGAGCTTGTGCCCATGATAACATTCACCTTGCAGTTGCCCACTTTAGGTTTACAGAGGGCTTTTATATTAACCATCTCTTTGGTCCACATAATAACAATGGACTGGGTAGAGACTGCTAGGCCCATTTTGGAAAGGATGAAACTGAGGGCCAGAAAAGTTATAGGACTTGCCCAGCAGCTTTATTGGTTGTGGACACTTCTACCTAGACTTTCCACTATACCACACTGTCCCTGCCTGTGGAGGTAGGGAGGTAGAAGAGGCAAAGGCGCCACAACAGCCACCTCTCCTTTCCCAGCAGGCGCCATAGACCCATTCTCCTGAGGCTGGCTCCATGGCAACGGGAACACTGGCAGAGGACAAGCAGAAGGGAGGGAAGTCACAGGTACCTGTAGTGAACTCAGCAGGCTTCTTGAAGTGGGTCAGGGTGATGTGGCAGAGGATGTAGAGTGTCGCAAACAGAAGTGTTGAGATCTATGGCAGAGCATGAGCTGGGATGAGAAACTCTAAGAACATTCCATAGCCCCATGGGGTCCCTTCCCCAAAACAAGGCTGCATAGTTTCTCCCTGTTACTTCCTTCTAGTCAAGGCCTCAGGAGCCTTTAAGAAGCAGCAGACAGCCCTGGCTGGTTTGGCTCCGTGGATAGAGGGTTGGTCTGCGGTCTGAAGGGGCCTGGGTTCGGTTCTAGTCAAGGGCATGTGCCTGGGTTGCAGGCTCAATCCCCCGTAGGGGGTGTGCAGGAGGCAGCCGATCAGTGATTCTCTCTCATCCTTGATGTTTCTATCTCCCCCTTTCCCTTCCTCTCTGATATCAATAAAAATATTTTTTTAAAAAAATATAAGTGGAACAAATTGCTGTCTGTCTCTCTTAAAAATCAATAGGAAAAAAAAAAAAGAAAAAAAAAATCAATAGGGAGCCCTGAAAGATCAGGTATGCTCTGGGCCAAATCAGAGCCTCATTTAATCTCTGCCCCTAAGAAGACTTAGTTGGGGCCCAATATCTACAAAGTTTCTAGAGTCAGCATCAGCCTCTTTTTATTTTTATTTTTTATTTTAAATTTTTTCGTGGGAAGAGGGAAAGAGTCCCACAGCACAGACTCCCAGGTGGGGAGGGGGAAAGAGTCAACATCAGCCTCTTTAAAGGCAGTCAATCCCTGCTCCCTACCTCAAGTGACTTCCCAACTCTAGGGCCAGGCATCTCAAGGCCTGTCCCATGCCTCTGGGCGACTGGACCTCCAACTGATAGTTAAGGCAGGGCTTAGCCAAGTTACTCTGCACATGCATGCATCCCACCCTACCCCAGGTTAGCTGCTATTGCTCAGGGGAAGAGCTACTGCTCAGTTTGGCTCCATAAACAGGGAGTCTTGAGAAGAGGCATTATTGTATTTCAAGTAGTCCAAGAAGGCAGGATCAGTCTTGTGGGTTCTCCAGTCCCCAAGAGGAGCTGACGCCACAGGAAATCTGCATACAGCTATCCATGCAAAGAGGGACAAAGTCATAGAGACCCCAGGAGAGCCAGAGGTCTAGGACAAAGCTGTAGCTTTTGACATTAGGAAAGCAGAGTAGAATGAGCCACTCAGATTGGAACTGCAGAATTTTTACAGCCTAGTGCTCCACCCTGGGCTTGCGCAAGTAATAGGAAGGTGGGAGGGCTCAAAAGGGCATGCTGGAGTTACACGCAGTTCCAGCGGAGGCTAGGTCATTCTCTAGAGCAGAACTGGTGCCAGGTGGAGGAGCAACCAGAAGCCTTCAGGCTGTCCTTGCCCAGCACTGATTCCTCAGCTAATGGGACCAAAGGATGGGGGAGACATCCAAGAGGCTGCTTCTCTGTCCAAGGTCGCATCCCTCCCGGTTCTCTAAGAATGTGGGCCTCTGGCCATTCACTGTCTCAAGGCCCCAATGAGCCTCAACGTATGCCCAACCCCACCATGTGGGACTATCCACTAAGGGACACATAAGGAAGGATTCCTGAAAGCAGATCTGGCATTCTACACACGGACTAATATACTTCCTACCTTTCAGTACTCAGAAATAAGGACAGACTCAGTGAAGTAGTGGCTCCCTTTATCCCTCCTCCAATCTGAGGCTGCCCAGGGCAGACCAGAGCCCAGCCTGAGAAAAAAATGAATGATGGATCCATTCACTAACATTTCTATTCTTTCAAACCTTTCTCGTTTCCTTTCCATGTAGTATATGGAAGAGAGGGCTACCCTGGGGAGCTCAGAGAAGACGACTCAGGAGAAAGGAGAGAGATGAGCGTCCAAAGCAGGCCTGCGGCAGATCTGACTTCCTTGGCGCCTCCGAGTGTCCCCCACCCCGCCCAGAAGTGAGGGAGGGAGGGAGGGAGGAAGGCAGCCAGGTGCTCTCTAGAGCACTGAGGGGAACCACTCACAGGGGAAATCCCTAAATGTTTGAATAGCTAGCTAGGAACCTCCACTTGCAGGGTTCCTAACAAACACTAATAAGGGGGCGGCGGCGGCGGGGGGGGGGGGGGATGGTGGAGGCTTAGTTGTTCTCCATCTCTACCCAGTAGAATCCACACCAGCAAGAGTCCCTTCTTCCAAGGTGGGCGTCCCACCAAAGTCCCCCTTCAACAAACACCAGTTGGGAAGTAAATGCAAACCAGCCCTCCCCTAATCAAATCCATCCCTCTCGGTCTAAGCCGGGCAGACTCGCCAAACTCTCAGACACAAGGGGACCCACGCCCAGAACGACGGGGCTGGGCGGGGGGCGGAAACCGATGGGCTTTGTTTATCTCGCAACTACCCAGAGGATCCGACTTACTACTGGTTCACCGGCTGGGGCACCGGTCCTTCTGACGGGCCGGGGCCTTTCGTTGCTCGCCCTGGTGCGCACGGGGTCTGAGGGCGCTCTGAGCCCAGGTGGTTGTACTCCGACCCCAACCTCTCCCTCTCCCGGGACACCCTTTGGCCCTAACCTTCCTACCCGGGTCCCACACTCACAATACATTCGCGGACCCTCTCGTGGAATAGCTGCTCTCGCACGGATAGCACTTCGTAGTCAGCTGCTTCCATACTCTGCTCAGCATGACTGGGGCGGGGGTGTCTCCGGGCCCGGGGAGGACCGGCGGGGATAAAGCCGCCGCCGCCAAGCACCCGGACCCAGCCGAGGAGCCTTTCCTCGCAGCCTGCGACGGAAACTCGGGGGAGGTAATCTGAGGTCCAGATTCAGACGTCCGGACGCCCCGCCCTTAAAGGGGCAGGCACCAGCGCGCCTTGTTTTAAAGGGCCCCTGTCCCTACTCTGTTCCCTCCCCTTTAAGGTCGGGCCTCAGTCAAGTTTCAACGTAAACACCCGCCTTTAGGCTCGTTAAGAGGAAGCTTCAGTCCTCATTCTACTTTACCGGAGGCCGAGTGACGACACAAGGGATGGGCGGGTTCCTTTCATAAAGCGAAACTCATTGGCTCCTAGAGCTGCCGCTCATAGGTAGAGAAACGATGATAGGCTTTCCCCGTGAAAGGAGGCGGTATCTTTGAAGCCAATCGGTGCTCAATCTAAAACTAACCGACTCCTCACGTCCGGCTGTTGAGGAGAGAGAGTTTTAGTAACGACTGAAAGTTTAGTTCGGCCGTGGCTAAATGAACCTTTTGGAACTAGGCAGCCAGGGAGGATGTGAGAGTTCCATGGGGGTTCTGAAAGGTTACCGCTTCCCAGGAACCCAAGGTCCACAGCACCATTTTCTGAAAGTGTCTATATGTTGGAGGGGGTCCCCCTTCGCGGCCAGTTTTCACTCAGTCACTTTGGGGATGGCCAAGTGTGTGCTAGAGCAAATACTTAAAAAAAACAACACCACCTGAATAGTGAACTACAGAAATATTCTCCTGAAACGTTGTGAGGTAATGTCCATAGGGGACCATTGTTGAGTGGTGCAGAATCAAACATTAGCCGACCTAGGTACCACTCACTTTACAGACTTTATCTCATTTTAATATCACAACCTTTAAGAGGAATGTGTTGTGATTAGCATTTTAGAAATTAGAAAAAGGTGAGAGCTTGTCACGTGCCCAAGGTCACATCATTAAGGCATGCAAGTGACCTTCCTGAGATCTCCGCTGAGGTATGTGTGCAAAGCCTCACCTTCCTGAAGTTAAAGCCTTCCTCCGAATGGGAGGAAGCAGTGCAGAAAAGCAAAAGAAGGGCTGGGTTTTGCAAAGCCTCCCATTGAAGAGTAAGAGCCCAATTCTAAAGGCCTTAGACTACATCCAGTTACTGTCTGGTGCCAGAATTAACAAGTGAATGCTATACCCTTGTAACCATGGGGCAAGTTATTTCTACCTCTTTTCTGTTTCCCCAGTGATTTGCAATAGAACCCTGGGAGCTGATTTTCCTCTTAGCAACCAAGCCTGAAGTAAACAGAACTTCAACTAAGAGAGAGAGTAGACACAGCTACAAAGAGGAGAAGATAGCTAGCCGGGTCCTTGGGTCTGCTGCAAGGAAAGGAGAGGATAGACAGGTGGCTTGGGTCTATTGAGTGTGTTGTGGGAACAAACATGAATGGGTCAAGGCCCTGCCTGGAGGGACGTACAGCTTGTCAGGGAGAAGTGGCCCTGGAGCGTAACAGGTCTCAGATCTTAATTTTAAGCATATGTGATTTAGTGATCTTATTAAAACACAAATCAGATCTTATCTCAGCTCAAAACCTCTCAAAAGTGACCCATTTGCACTTAATAATTCACCTGCTTTAAAGTAAGCCTACAAGGCTTTCAGAGGATATATTAAACATGCTGTGTTTTGTTGGGCTCACTGTGTTTTGGTTTTTTTTAAACAAATTTAAACAAACATTTAAAAATCAGAAGATGACTCCTTAAAAGTTCAGATATCTGTTCTATCCCCTTTTAATCCTCACCAGAGAATATTTTCCATTGATTTATTTTATGTTATTTTTAGAGAGAATGGAAAGGAAGGGGAGAGACAGAAACATTGATGTGAGAGACACACCCTAACCAGGGCTGGGGATTGAGCTTGCAACCAAGGAATGTGCCCTTGATCGAACCGATGCTCTGTCCACTGAGCCAAACCTGCTAGGGCTGACATCTGTCTCTTAAATAGAAGATCTGGCAGAGCTGGGCAGCCAGGACCTATGGCTCTGTAGATGAAGGAGGATGTACCAGTCTTCCACAGCTCCTATTACTTGGGTGAGCACCTCACCAGTTTTTCCATTTACGTTGTCAGCCCAACTGTTTTGTGACTTGTGAGCTATCCCCTGAGCTATCCCCTCTCTACTGCTTCAACTTGGCACCATCTTCATTCTGGCCTTTGGTCAGTTTCTGGTCGACCCTGCCAACTTTCCTTTCTCAGGACACTGCACTTGCTGTTTCCTCGGCCTGAAAGTTCTCCCCTTCTCCTTCCCAATTCACTTTTAGCTGGTTCCTGTTTTCTTTAGGTTTGAGCTTAAATGTTATCTGCTCAGAGGACTCTCCCCCACCCCCCACTATTTTATCTAAAGCAAGTATTTTTTTACTTTACCTCCATGTATGTCTTTACTCCTTTCCTCTCCACTTAGAGGACTAGAACCCTGCATTTGGCTTCAAATTCATTCTTTTCCATTCAACCCCATTTCTTAACCCAGTGCAGTTCTCACAGTAAACACTCAATGTTTGTAGATTTGAGATTTAAGAGATTAGTTATCCATTTTTGTAGGGAAGGAGCCACCTTGACTGTGGAGTAAATTTCAACATCTGCAAGCAGCACAGAGAAGGGAATAATCCAGAATGAGCCTTCACTAAGTGCTAAATGTTAACAGATACTTTACATAGATTAGTTTATTCAATGTCACAAGGATCCTACTAAGTAGACTTTTTAATTTTATTTTTTTAAGGTTTCAAGTTAACATTTATTGCACACTCACTGTAGGTAACTGCCAAGTCCTCAAAATGTAAAATTTAGCAACACAATTTTATCTTCAAGGACTTCAGAGATATGTCAACTATATAAAAACAATTTTGTGAAAATGTGTAGGAGATAATAATTTGAGTGAGAAAAATATGACACTGGAGGTTTGGGGATAGATATTGCAATATAAGCAATGGGTTCAGAGGTGGAAAAATATGGTAGTAGACTTTTTTTATGTATAGATGAGGAATCTGTTCAAAGAGATTAAGTAACTTGTGCAAGGAGCTACAATAAGTGGTGGATGTGGGACTTGAACTGGCTTATCTGACTTGGAAGCTTCCCTTTTCCCCACTATATCTTCCCAGTTTTTGTATTCCTCTCCTTACTAAACTGCTTAGATACTCAGTGTAATAGAAAGGTAAAACTTGAAGAGTCCTGGCACCCTGCATCTGCATATAAAAGGTTCACCGTTCTACTTCTTCCTGTGAGGTCACCTTTGAGCTTTCAAATGTTGACTTATTGCTGAATAGCACCTTGAGAGGAGCAGACAGAAGGCCCAGAGGCACCAACTCCCAGAGGTGAGAGGGGATTTGGAAAAGTTACCCCTTTTAAAAAAATATGTATTTTAGAGAGGGAGGGAGAGAAGGAAACATTAGTGATGAGAGAGAATCATAGTTCAGCTTCCTCCCCCCACTGGGGATTGAGCTCACAACCTGGGCCTGTGCCCTGACTGAGAATCAAACCGTGATCTGGTTCATAAGTCGACGCTCAACCCCTGAGCAATGCCGGCCAGATGAAAACTTACCTTTTTTTTTTTTTTTTTTAAATATATATATATGTATTTTATTGATTTTTTACAGAGAGGAAGGGAGCGGGACAAGAGCCAGAAACATCGATGAGTGAGAAACATCGATCAGCCGCCTCCAGCACACCCCCCACGGGGGATGTGCCCGCAACCAAGGTACATGCCCTTGACCGGAATCGAACCCGGGACCCTTTGGTCCGCAGGCCGATGCTCTATCCACTGAGCCAAACCAGTCAGGGTTACCCTTTTTTTAATACAAAGATTTCAGAAACTTTCCATTCAGATTATGGGTTATTTTCATTTTCTCTTTGCTTACCTACATGACCCAATTTCCCCACAGAAAACGTAAGTACAGAAAAATTCCTGTTCATTCAAATAAGACTAGTAGCTTTAGGGTAGTTTTATTCCCAGGACTTTCTGGGTTTTCAGAAAGAACTCATTCAACTCTAAGGTGAAAATACGTAAACTGTGCTATGAATTGAATGTTTATGTGCCCCACCCCCACCCCAATTCATATGTTAAAACCCTAACCCCAAATGTGATAATTATACGAGGTGGGGCCTTTGGGAGGTAATTAGATTTAGATGAGGTCATGAGGTATAGCCCCCAATATGGGATTAATGTTCATATAAGGAGAGAAAGAAACTAGGGCTTACTCTCTCTCAGCTATATGAGGACACAGCAAGAAGGTGGTGGGCCATCTGCAAGCCAGGAAGAAGGCTCTCACCAGACTGAATCCGCCAGCACTTTGATTTTAGATTTCCCAGCCTCCAGAACTATGAGAAATGTATGTTTGTTGTTTAAGCCATCTAGTCTATAGTGTTTTGTTATAGCAGCACAAACTAAGGCTATAAACCTTTTCCTTCCCTCTCATGGAAATTGGACTTGTTTCTAGAAATAAGCCAGCAACTTTGGAATTGCCCTCTTGTCTAGGATTCTAGGAAAACCAGAGGTTCCCTTTAGGCAAGGCCTCCCTGGATCTGAGAACTTTTGGTTGTTATTGTTGTTGGCAGGAGTGGGGGTAAGGGTTTAAAAATAGCGTTGAGAAATTCTGCTCCTTTATTCCTACCTATCACTGATCTCTCAAAAAATATTTGAGAAAACAATCATAATGAAAGATTGGCTTGAGATAGCAAGAACATTTGGAAATCCCAGACTCTGGGAATGGAGAGGGATCATAGAAGTCTTCAGTTCTCCCTTCTTGCCTTTCACAACATGGATGTCATTGTGGGTCCTAGCTAATTATTAGAAAGTGAGCTGCAATGTTATTCCCCATCATTTGCTGTGCCCTTTGAGGTTTTGAGAAATGAGTCTGCTGCCATTTCTGGACAGGAGCTCTTCACTGGATTTCTCCTTTCTAATCTAAACAACCTCATTTTTGCCCAACTAGCATGGCTCAGTGGTTGAGCATCAACCTATGAATGAGGAAGTCACAGTTCGATTCCAGGGCAGGGCACAGGCTCGGGTTGTGGGCTCAATCCCCAGTGTGGGGTGTGCAGGAGGCGGCCAATCATTGATTTTTATCATTGATGTTTCTATCTCTCTCGCCCTGTCCCTTCCTCTCTGAAATAAATAAAAATATATTTTAAATAAATAAACAACCTCATTTTTTCTGAGTTGCTGTACCCAGGA